AAATTACGGAGATCCTCTTTATTTTGATTCTGCCTTCCATTACAAAGTAAATACTAAGTGGCTCTTTGCAGCTCCTTCGGATGTTATCATCCCAATAAATGGCTTCAGATTCTGCCTCCCTATCTACCAGTGCGCTCAGTAGGTTGGTATCACTAAATAAATCCTAATTTCATGACTCTAAGGTGCTTCGAGTAATATATTGTTGTGTAATCTAAAATTAATTTCATTAGTTCTTCATGTATTGTAAAAAAAAAAATGGAAGAAAAAAGATCTGCATTTGGCAAACTTATAACCTGTAAACTGAGTTGTTTTTAATCACCACAATAAGTTTGTGTGACTGAAATGTATAATTACTTTGAAGTAAAACTTTAAAATGTAGTTGTTTTTAAATAGGTACTTTGTAAATACAGTAGATAAAAACTATAAAAAAAAAAAACAACAGAATAACCAAGCCCCTGCTTTAGCATATTTAACCAATTAGTAACTTAAGCTGAAAATATTAATTCTCATAGGTTACAGTTTATTGGTTTATTTTGGTGGCTGAAAGAGTGTGTATGTGTGCTTAATAACAGTATAGTTATTATTCTTTAATGAAAATTAATAACCTTGAGTGCTGCTTCGACAGTTGGACTGTGTCTGAGTGAACCCTACAGCTAGGAACATTTTGAAATTTTAGCTGATTTAAACTACAAAAAAATAAGCTAAAGCAGGAAGTCCAACTGACTAGATTCTAGCCCTCCACTCCCCTGAGAACTACATGATTTTCCTACAAACCCTATGTGATATTGCATGCATCTGACTACCAAAAATAAGAAAATAGTATCCTTTTTTTGAATTACTAAGATTTCAAAGATCTTAACAGTCCCAAAGCCAAAATAATCAATGTTTTTTCTGCCCTCTGCCCTTTAAATCAAATAGTAAATGTTTTTTACATGAAATATACCATTCATTTTTTTAACAGTTTTCACAGACCATTTGATTAAAAAAAAAAACTCAGTCTGTTCAACAAGTGTTAACTTTTAACTTTTGTATTAAAGCTAATATGTTAAAGGTTTTTGAATAATTGCTTATAATATTAGTAATTGCTGAATCCGTACCTTCTTTGGATAAAAAAGTTAATTCTCTTGAACAGAGTCTGAGTTCTTCTCAGTGCGAGGCATCAGCCTCTGGTTTGCACCTAATTACACACAGACTGAAAGGGCCTCCCCAGAAAATCAATGAACATTGCTCTGCTCTGAGACATATTTATTAGGAGGACGGACTCCACTTAACACCACTTAACAAATGCATTCATGGCTGGGCAATGACCTTGCTCTTTGCCCTACAGATTCTTTAGCATATTGAGGAGCAAAGCATAATGATTCTTTGATGAGTATGTGAGAAATAAAAAAAGAAGAAAGCACATATCCCTCAGGGGACATAATGGAAAATGGGATCCTCTGGGAAAAGTTAATGATCAGCCGCCTTGAGGTGTGATTTCATTCCAGACAGAATCCCTGATCTACAGCTATGAATTGAAAATGGCTAATGCATGAAACTAAACCTATCAGACTTAATCGTTCTCTGTGGATCATTCTGTGTCACAGTCCATGCAAAGTGCAGGAAACCTGAGTCTGTTTTCATCTGGGAAGCAGCTTTATTTGGAGAAGAGAAATGTATTAATCACCAGTCGCTGTCACCA